TCTCCAGTGTCTAAGCTATAAGAAAATGCCAGTTGCCAGTTTGTAACAAAAAATGCCATTAATGGTGTTTCAAGCCCCGTTTACACTACGCTCAATTTTTGGTACGGCACGGATAAAATTGGTACCCGTACCACTTTTTTGGTTCTTGGACTATCTATTTAGGTAGTCCAAGAACCAAAAAGTGGTACGGTACCAAAAATTGAGGCGTAGTGTAAACGAGGCTTAGCTAAATAGATCGTCCAAGAACCAAAAAAGTGGTACGGGTACCAATTTTATCCGTGCCGTACCAAAAATTGAGCGTAGTGTAAACGGGGCTTTAGAGACACTTTTATTGAGGTTGGCTGGCCGTCTATTTGGCCTAATTTGCTGGTGAACTGTTAAAGCTCAATAAAACTAAAAGTTCTGCACTTGCAAAATAATGAAAAAAACTTACGCCTTTTGAGAGAAACAGCTTGGAGAATGGCCGTCAAAATATCAAAATTTCGTTGTAATTTGTACGCATTTTTATCACGACGCTTCAACTGTCGAACCAGTCGACCAGACAGCAACGTAACGTAGCTACTCAACTCGTCCGAAACGCGACGAATTTCGCCCAAATCTAAAAGGAAAACGATGAGCTTTAGTGATTTTATAAATATCATTTTTAGAATATAAATGTTTATTTATAATTTAACAGCAATTTCCAAATTATTAAATTTGTCGCAAACTGCAGTTAATTATATTGTACGTTTAATATTTATACAACATTATATTAAACGTTCACAGATTTTCCATGAACGTCAACGTTTAAAATTTGGTCAAATACTTGGGTATTTAAAAACTGCTTTCTCTAAAAAATATATGCTATCTTCGTAGCAATTATAATGGTTTAAATGCAGATTAACGTACTTGACTTATTTTTGTATAAAAGTTCTTTGTAATGAAAGGAAAAAGCCAAACTAATATTTATTCATATGGATTTTTAATTCTCATTCAGAATGGAACAAGTTTTTTAAATAACTTTTACTACAATACGATATTTATATATTTGCGGTGACGTTATCTCATCATTTTGTTCAAAAAAAACCCTTGAAACTAAGCATTTCAAACTAAGCAAACAAAGCATTTTCTCCAAGCATTTTAAAACAAAATTAGACTAAAAATCGGTTCAAAATGAGCATCATATATAATTTCACCTTTGCCATTCAGTTGTGAACGGGTCCATCTTTGTGTGCGTTCGTCCAACTCAAACGATCCGCTATAAAACGACGTTGTAGAACATTCTGTGACATTATCACTGTCCCCTGACCTAGACCCATGGTGGTAGCGATCATAAATCTCAGTTAAAAGCCCATCAACGATCGACGATTGTCGGCTGAGTCGGCTAGATGCCCGTGACTCATCGCTAGTATATTGCCCTTGTTCGTCTTCTAGCGAGCTTGCTGTAGTTTCAAAACTGTAGTCAGAATCTATACTCTTTGGACTTGAACTGTCATCGCTTATAACACTTTCATTGTCGCCATACGAGATAGGTTTTTGAAGTTTCTTTTGCCCGCTTGTGATATCTATAAAACTTTCCATGATCTTGCCGTTTTGATCAGGCCATTTTTTGTTTTTGAGCCCGCGCCTCGTAAACCAGCGGCGTTTTATAAACTTTTCCTTCCACTTCGCAGAAATAATTTTCTTTTGTATTGTTTGAGTAAATTTCTTTATATTACAAAAAATTCTTTATATTAGTATTTTTTTGTTTGCAATAACGTAAAAGATGAATTATAATACAAAATACAAAAACTTTTCTGGGGGAGAATATCTCCAGACCCCCTACTAGTACATACGATATCACACCAAACTTTTTGTCAGCAACAACCATCTGCCATCTCCACACACTCAGTATAGTATGGTTCCTTTTTGTAGATGCCACCCCCCCCCCAGACAAGTTCTTAAAAAAAGGTGCTGTGTTCAAATAATTTCGCTGTTTGAAGGCGGACCATGGGTTATGCTTATGGTAGGACAAATGTTGCATTGCAAAATACTAACACATAATATATGTTTTTTAATCATGTATGGTTGAATCATATTCACCATGCTAAAACATCATGAGCTAGATTAAGCAGATTGTCCTAATATCTAACTTTACCTGCAACGCACACCTGTTCCATTGCTGTTAATTTTTCAATTCACACTGGGGTGGTCAGAAAAGTCTCTACTTTTATGAGGGGGGGGGGACATAAAACGTTTGCCTTCAGTCTGGAGGGGGGTCAAAAAAGTTTTCAATCTTTATTTTCCCCATTTAACAACCGCTCCCCCCTCCCCCCTCCCCATAAATAATGTCCACCCTCTTACGGTATATTTTGTCCAGAATTAATATCAAAATCACATATGAAATGCACGGAATAGTCAGGTAATGTGTACATGTATGAATTGAAATTTTTAGGATATGAGTGCTTCAGCCTTCAGTTAAGTTGAAAACATTTAGGCAAGTTCTTTTTTAAGACAACGCTCGTAACGAACTAATGCTTCGGCTTCGCGCGTGTGCGGTTGAATACGCTATATCGTGGACTATTGACCTTCAATACCACTTTATTCAAACCTTCATACAGCACTGAGATATATTAGGCGTTGGGGGTAACTTTTAATTTCGCGCCAATAGTTGGGCGAGTATGTTCCTCTTCAGGCCCGATGTTTAAATCTAAACATTATTTATACTGAGAAATTAAAATAATTCTTATTTTCACAAATTATATTTATTTTTAAATTTCCATAAAAGGTTTAAAGTATCCAATAATCTCCAGGTGGAAAACAGTGAAAAAGGAAGAAAACTTGACCGGAAAAGTGTCCTTTATAACTGCACTTAAGTCTTTTATGCGTGCGAGAAATGTGTCAAGGACGTGTTTCACTGTTAATTACCGAATCATGCTACGCCTACCTTTTTACATAATCCTTTGGGCAAACTTTTACACGTAGAAGAAATGCATTTAATTTATATTCTGTAATTCTATTCTGTGACGAATAGCAGATAAACCGCATTAACACAAAACGCGACCGTATAGTACATGCGGGAATCTCTTTTTTGCCGAATTTATCGGGATGAATGATCCAATTAAGTTTTTGAAAGTTTACTGATTCTCACAGTGCCTCGAATGGCGTAATATTCTAGCCAACTCTTTAGTTAATTCCATAGTGTAGTTACGACCTGTAAACTTTCAACCTATCCTTTGCATAGCAGTAACCATAGTTACGCAGTGAATTCAAGAATACTTCACTGAATCATTGTAATGCGCCGCTATATTGTTTAGCAATTTCATGAAATTGCTAAATTGGCGGTCCAGCTAGTGTATAGCCATCCTGGTTCCCAGGACTTCTCGCAGGCAGCCGAGAAGCAATTTGAACGAGGATGGTGTAGGAGGGGCTTTTACAAAAAGGGACAATACCATACTGAGTGTGGAGAGATGATAGATTGTTGTTGGTGACAAAATATTCGTGGGATACTTTTATGAAATAGTAGGATTGTCTTGGCGTATTCTCCCTCAGAAAATGTTTGTATATTTCCATCCCTACTGGATTCCTGAGTTTGTGCATTTTCTGAAACAGATTTTTGGATACCTAGCGTTACATTGTACTGTAGATAGACTGCATCTTCATTTAAGCATTTGTATGATATGTTTATGTAAATACCACAACCTCGTACCCAGGGTTTCTGCGCTTATTGCTCTCAGAAGCCCTGAACAATCTCGTTCCCCGAGCCTGCGATCCTCGGGAAGGAACGTGAGGCTCTGTGATAATCCGTTTCAGGGAGGAATCTGATTGACCGTTGATATGGAATGCGCAGTTCAGTCTTAGCCAGGATTCCTGGCTACCGGCAACGGATTATACCAAAGCCTCACGTCCCTTCCAGAGGATCGCAGGCTCGGAGAACGAGACTGGAGCTCTGGAATAATCCAACTCAGAACGTGGTTTGTGATTGGTCAATGTGAATACAATGAAAGTATCGGAAATTATTCATTAACCGTGTAATATTTTGGCAACATGGCTGCTATCACATGGAGTGTATGCGAAGACTACGAAAGTTAGATGCGGGTTTTTGCATGAAAATAACTTTTAAACCAAATTCTTGGCTGGTTTGAAAATGCAAAAAGTATTTATTTGTTGATATTAAGCAAGAATGACGAACAAAATAAAAAATTTAACATAATAAAGAGAAATCAATTTTTTGTTCTGTTGCTCAAAAATTCCAAGTTATCAAGTATGAATCTACAACTTCAACCACGAAATTCAATGTAAATATTGCTTGATATTACGTAATAAAGTTTTTAATAGTTTATTTGCTTTTATTTAATAAATTGTTCTGTTCTATATTGTTTCATTTTCCATTGGAATATGATACAATACATACAAAGTTTTATACTGATTTGCAAATTTCAGTGCTTCTGTGATTGAGATGCAGTGAACATGCCAAACATATAAGTCAATAAATTATTTAATTTTATTCCAGAGATTCAGTGTAAATAATTTAGCCATTACTGCTGCTAATGTACAAACATTGTAATCTGTTATTTACCATAAAGAAAGTTAGAAACTGTTTGAATGATTAGGTTTGATAGCGCATACATTAAATGACTAAGCAAAATATTATTTCCTAGCCTGTGTGGCAGTTCTCCCATGAGCCTGCTAACCAGGCTAATTATTTCTCAGCAAATATTGTTTTTATTTTTTGCCCAACGAAAGGCAAATTTTTTTAACTAATCTTCAAATGGCTTTCTTTGGCGGGTAGGAACGGGGGGGGGTTTGAGGGAAAAGAAAAATTTTCCAGTCATACCACACCGAAATTGCACGTTTTTGCCAGTTTGTTTTAAAAAGCTTGGAAATTTCCAAACAAAAAGGGCACCTTTGATGTTAATTTAGTATTTACAGCGACATTAGCTTGTACAAAAAGGGCACTTTTCATCCCAAAAAGGACACTTGTCATCACGAAAAGGGCACTTTTAGTCCTTTGAAAACATTTGGCGGAACGTGCCCCCCCCCCCCGTGCCTCCCCCCCTAGACCATAGACATGTTCTCCAAATGACAGCTAGAATTTTTGTTGCGGATTAATGACAAGAATTAAACCTGTAGTTAAACATAGTATTGACTATTGTTTTCGAGGGAAAGAATCCTTTTCAAAATGTAGGGACTGACAGGGCTGCAGGACAATTTCGCATAGTCTGTGAGACCCTATGATATCATAGTGCAAGCACCAGAAACATTTGGTAGCAGCACTCTTCAAATGACTTGAATCCAAAAACCAACCAGGCCTACAGGTGGGTCTCCCCCAAAAAAAATTGCAAAACCCCTCGGGAAATATCATCACTTCGGGTAATATTTCTCCGAATTTCCCACGCTCCAGGTCTATAAATGATAAATATACATGGATATAGCATGGGAGTCCAAATACATTTTCTCATAATAAACAAACTTTGTTCAAACTAGCGCAGGTCTCTCCTGGTTAGAAATCCTGGCTATGTCACTGCTCAATTCCATTGCCAGTGGTGCCGGTTATAGCCTTATTTTATTAACTGTGATTAGACAGAGTAGGTTAACAAACTAGTGCGCAGTATGAGAAAATCCATTGAGCAGCACGAAGTAACTTGAATGGTCAGGACTGAATGATGAACAATTAGTTCAGCACCACTGGTTTTTATGATACTGTTCATTCCAATACTAGAATGCCAATTGTATTAATTAAAATGAAATTCAGTTGGCAAGTAGCTATCTGACAGTTTTTAATTAGCCCGTGTGCAGGCCCACCGAGGGAAGAATAGTGGGCCTGCAAGGAAGACCAGGTGTTTCGCAAGACGCCCCTTTTCATAACACGCCCCACTCGCGCGTCAATTGTAAAAAAAGAACCAATGACAGCAACCCAAATAGTGACAAACAAACTCGCATTAAAATGTTGCGGGGTTTTCTCCGCTTATTCAAAATAGAAACAATGTCTATTAAAATGGCTGCGTTTTAACTCCAAAAAAGCAAGCAGCGCAGTCAGTAATTGCCAAATTTGCAAGTGCTCATTTTCAACTAAAATCGGAGCAAGCAAATTAGGGCGAATTTCAACAGAAAACCTCTCTCAAACTTCAGATCGTAAGGGAAGTCGTGCGACCACATTTATGGCATTAACGTGTGCTTCTGTCGCAATTGTTTATAAATAAATTATCTCACTTATCAGGGATCGTGTGCGCAATTCATGTTGGCGGCGGAAAGTATGAAATTTACTTCATTTATTTCATTTGGTAAGAACTCGACAAAAGAAGTAGAGCGTTCAGAGTTCAGATCGTTTCGTTTCAAACGGCAGTTAGCATCTTCTGTTTCGCTCTATCTCGCTCAATGAGCCACGCAATTGTGTGGATTATTATTATTATTATTATTATTATTATTATTATTCCTGTCTCTGCAACCCTTAGCAACGTGTTGCTTCCACAAAACAAATTTGGTCTGAATATTATTCTCCCTTCGACAAAATTTATCCAATGTCAAACTGTCTCTCGATCAGCTTTAAAATACTCACCAAACATAGATATTAACAATCTATGGGCGGTGACGAGCACC